TATTATTTTTTAATAATTTAGGTTTCTTAAATTTGTTTTCATTATTAAAATATTGTAAATTATGATGTAATTAAATTATATGAAATTGAGTTTAATGGATAATTTTGTAATTAAATTAAATATTAGGTATTCTCCGCAAAAGTCACAGTAAAAAAACTCAAAATTAGGCTTTTGGTTTTATATATAAAATTATCATAGATCTACCATAACTTTTTGCAGTTTTTAGAAAAAATAATTTGAAAAAAAATTATCAAATACACATATATCTCAAAGTGTTATATAGATATACCAAAAAACTCCCAACCACAATTTCAAACGCACCCTAAATAACTATGACATGCCATTAAATTCGTAAATGAATATATATCACAGGTGGACCTTAAGTAAAAGGACTCAATTATTTAATGACATATCATGTTATAGACTTATAATATCACATGATATTGTAATTATATTAATTTTCAAAATTAATTAAATTATTTAAAAAATTAATTAAAATTGATAAATAACAATAAAAGTACTTTTTTGGATAAGATATTATATATAAAAAAATAAAAGTATGGTTATACAAAATTTTAACATTATGCAAATTTATTACTTTTTTAATAATATTTAGGTTGATTTGACAGTAGCGATACTACATTGTGTCTATATTATTTTGTCGTTTACTATCCAAAAATATTTAAAATATTAATTAAAATTGATAAAAATATATAAAAAATTAATTAAAGTTTGTATATTTTCATTTTAGACAAAATACCACATGAAAAAAGTATGTAGGAAACATAGTCAAATAAAGGATTAATTTATTTGTTAATAATAACTAATAGATGATAGTCTATATATAATGATTAAAATTTATTTTTATTATTTATAATTTAAATTTCCTTATTCATCTTATTAAAGAAAGTATGTATTAATTATTTCTTAATAACTTCCATAAAAAATTATTTCTTAATAAATCAATCAAATATAGCCTAGATTTTTGAAAACATAATTCATTTTAACTTTTAATTATATTAATAGATTAAAAAGTTCAAAAAGAAGTTAATGACTTAAGTAGTTTAATAGTAATTTTTTTTTTTAGTGAAAGTAAGATATTTTAAATTCAAATTATATGACATGTGAATACGATCGATTAAAGAATGGAAGAGAGTTCCTCCCATTATGCAACTATAATAAAAAATAATAATAATAAAAGTAAAAAGGAATAATTTAATATGAAATTAACATTATAAGATGTAACAATAAACTCACCTTAATGGTAGTCAAGAAGAGAAACAAATAAAAATAGAAAAATTGAGATTTTGTTTACATGATTGTGTGCATTGAAAATCAAGAATACTAAAATTAATTACTAGTTAATTAGTATATGCTTGTTAAATTACTAAATTTTGAGTTTTTTTTTTTCTTGTTTTTTAAGGCCACAAACACAATTCACTAAAAAAATAATAAACTATTTCACTTAACTATTGAAGATGCCTCCATTAAATGGAAGCCATAAGCTATGTTAAGGTGGTGTTATAGGAGGGACGTAAATCTAACGTAAAGTTAAATTAGATGGAGGACTATAGCATGGTAGTAGAGGGCAGACTTTGAATTATTTGTAAGTATACTACTAAAATCCCTCTTTTTAGCAATCAACCATCAACATCATGGAATTGCTTGTTGGTGATATAGATTTTCACCAACAAGCTCCATGTTGTTGATACTTATAGATTAGCCAATATCTCAAAAAGTCAACTCAACTTTCAACATCATGCCTCTTGTTGCTGAAAAAAGTCAACTCAACTTTTAGCATCATGCCTCTTGTTGCTGATAATGGATTTCAGCAACAAGACCAAGGTTGTTGAAAATTTCATCTATTTCTCCGACTGGGGTTTAGGGGCTAAACTTTCAGCAATAAGGAGCATGTTACTGAAATTGAATTTTCAGCAACATGCTCCTTGTTGTTGATACCTTCATAGCACAACACACCCAAAAAAGTGAGCTTAACTTTCAGCAACAAGGAGCATGTTGCTGAAAGTGACTTTGAACAACATGCTCCTTGTTGTTGATACCTTTATAGCACAATACACCCAAAAAAGTGAGATTAACTTTCAACAACAAAGAGCATGTGGTTGAAAGTTAATATCAGCAACAAGGCCAATGTTGCTGAAATTTAGATGCATTTCTCCGATGGGGTGAGTGGGCTAAACTTTCAGCAACATGCTCTTTGTTGCTGATACCTCCATATCACCAAACTCCCAAAAAGTTAGATTAACTTTCAGCAATAAGAGGCATGTTGCTGAAAGTTAAAATCAGCAACAAGAGCCATGTTGCTAAAATTTCCTAGTGAACTTAAGTATTACTAACATATACCATATTGCTATTAATCATTGATCGATAGCTAATTCCCTTCCAGCCACTAATCAGCAACATGGTCATATGTTGCTGAAAATGAGACAATTGCACCACATTGCTGAAAAACACTTTGACTGGTAGCTTCTTCCCCCATTATATATACACCTTTCTCGTACTAATATATACACACCTAGCCTTCCACACTTGTTAATTTCTTGCTATTTCTCCCTAACTCTTGCAATTCACTTTTTTTCATCTTCACATAATTATTTTTATATTATAATTTAAAAATAATAATTTTTATAAATTTCAAAACTCTTTTTTCTATTGCTTAATGGAGAGTCAACAATATTTTAATAGTCAATTAGAAAGTCAATAATATTTTGGCAACCAATTGGAAAGTTAAGAATATTTTGACAACCAATATGATGGTATAACTTTTTATTTATTTATTTATTTTTTTGTTTCCTTACCTTATGTCTCATTTCACATTCGTGCACCCCATTTACTATCATATTACTTAACTTTATGTTATGTTTACACACGAATCGTTGAGGATACTCTTGAATCACTTTGGAATTGCCCATCTCCATCTCAAACTCCTCCCAAGAGGAAGTTGAAAAAGCAAAGAATAATGTATCAATTGACCAACACATTCCATTGCCTAATAATGTAGACTACTCTGTTTGTCAAATATGTGCTACTGTTGGACATTTAGCTACAATTTGCACACACCAATATGTTGTAACTTGTCAATTGTGTAACCATGAGGATCATATTGCAAAAATTTGCCCGAATCGTTGTCGATTACCATTTGTGTCAAATCCATCCAAAGACTATAGCTCTGTAGAGTCCTTAGAAACAATTACAAAGATTTTTGACAATGGTAGGCACCTTACATTTGGAAAAAAGTATTGGGATGCTACTCTTCAAAAATTACAAGCTATTCAAGAACTGTAACATCATTGCCTTTCTATTCTTCAATATATTTTCTAATTTTCCTTATTCTCTTATGATTATCCAATATATTTTGACATTACAACATTTATTAATGATTTCCACGTTGTTCTCATGTCTATTATTAAAAGTTTGCATGCAATTCTTTTACTTTGATAACCCCCATAGTCCAAGAGTCCAATCTTACATATTAGAGTTGATTCTAAAGGATTTAGAGTTGACTCTTATAATTTAGAGTCGACTCTTAAGCATATAAAGTCGAATCTTAATATGTAAAGTCGACTATGAGCTGAGCTGAATGAATTCCCTGCTTATTGGAATTTGGTAGTCGAGTCTTCATATTATATAGTTGACTCTAAGGCAACTAGAGTCCAATCTACATATATAGAGTCGACTATGGGTTAAACTAAATGAATGGGTTACTTATTGGAATTTGGTAGTCGACTCTTCACATCATAGAGTCGACTCTAAAGCAACTAGAGTTGACTCTATTTATGGAGAGTCGACTATGGGCTGAACTGAATGAATTGTCTGTTTATTGGAATTTGGTAGTCAACTCTTCACATCCTAGAGTTGACTCTAAAGCAACTAGAGTTGACTCTATTTATGGAAAGTTGACTATGAGCTAAACTGAATGCATTCCCTACTTACTAGAATTTGGTAGTTGACTCCTCACATTATAGATTTGACTCTAAAGCAACTAAAGTCGAATCTATTTATGGAGAGTTGATTTTTAGCTGCATAGAATGAATACTTGCTCGACTTTGGTAGTCAACTCTTTATATAATATAGTCCACTCTAAAGCAAATAGAGTAAATCATCCAAATCCATCAACTTTTCCCCCCATTTCAAAATTGGATAAAAAAAGGACACAAGCATAACAACCAAAGCTCCCCTTAACACATGCATAGCAACCTTTTAAACCACAAACCAAATTACCCATCACACACACCATGAACTAATGAATTTCTATCCCTCTATGTAAGCACATCAACCACATAGTCAATGAAGACATACTCATCGCAATCACTTTAGAGACATTTATAAAAATGCATTAAAATTAAAGTAATCTACTGTCAACATTATATTTACATATAAGGAAAACGTTAGCCTGAAAACATAAAAATAAAAAGAAAAAACCTTCAGACACAGAGTTCAAATAGTAAAATGTCAATTGAAAAGGCATCAACAATTGGAACATGAATTTTTATGCTTCCGAATGTGAAATGGGATCGGTAGGTTGCTATAATGATGATGGGCCACCAGTAGACAGATCTCTCATTCTCGCTTGAGGATGAGAAGGTGCTGCCATCTGACACTCTTGAATGTGCTCATCGAGCTTCCTCTCCATGTGTGCAAGCTTCTCCAGAATGAATTGAATTCCTCTCTTTGTGCTTATATTTTGAGGAACCTCATATGAAGCAGGTTGTGAGGGACCCCCTTCTTCAATGTCTTCCAGATTTTCTTTTTCCTTAAACCCCTGACCTTCCTCATCTTGTCCTCCTCTCCTCCTTTTTTGCTTCATTTCCCAAGAGTTCGTTCTTACACTGTATACATAACCCATTTTGTTTAGTGAAGTGTCATTGAGAAGCTCGTGACTATAGAGGTCTCGGGACTCCATCCCATGCAAATCAACCCCCGCATTTTCCATTAGTAATGTGATGAGCATTCCATACACCAGTGCTAGTGTTGTTCTTCTCCTAAAATACACCATATGCCTCATCATATGGTGTCTTAAATTGATCCATCTTTGCCCAACAATATATGCAAACCACATATAATCCAAAGCGCTAAATTTTCGAAATGGCCCTTGCCTTGGCAAAATAATGTGATTGTATATCCAAAACATTAACTAATACTCCAAATTCAAGTTGTGAATGGTTAATGTTTGTGCCTCATCCTAATCATCTCCCATTATAACTTTCTTTGCAGAACCCTCTGTAAAGGCATTTAATTCCTCGGCTCCCTCATTTGGCAAATGTAGAACATAATTAATGGTTTTAGCATCAAATTCGATATTTTTCTTAAGCATAGTGGTTCTTAACACTCCATCCTCATCCATTGCACTCAAATTTATATAAAAAATCTTTATCAATTGCGGGTAAACCTTAACTTTCCTAGTTACTAATTTTGTCCACCCCATGGCATCTAGCATCTCCTTAACATGCAATCCATCTCTACACATATCCTCCAACACCACTCTAAACCCATAAATCACATGTTTAGTTGCTAGTTTCTGATATGCTTCCCTAGCATTTCTAGAAACAAAGTTGTGAGGGTTATCAGGTTGAAATACTTGCTCATTGTCTATGCTGTCACTACTATCCCCATGAGTTTCTTCACCCTTTCAACGCCTTGAGGTTATGGCTGCAGGCCTCTTCTGCTTCTTTGCTGCGCTTTTTGTCTTCACCATTTTAGAAAATGACAACAAAGGATTTTCAGAGGAATGAGCCGAAAATGATGTGGGTTTGTGTTTGGCTGAGTTGACTTGGTGAAATTTTTTGAAATTTTGGTTGGGTTTTGGGTTAGGGTTTTATTTTGGGCGAATAGGAGAGAGAGGGAAATGTTGAAATTTTGAAACTGTTGAGCTTATATTTAAATTCTAGAACTCAAAGTTGACTCTTAAATGTAAGAGTCGGCTCTTTAAAGGCTTAGAGTTGAATCTAAATGAAAAGAGTCGACTTTACATGACAAAAATAGTAGTGCCCAGAACGTAGTTTTAAAGATTCGACTATTAAAAGTGAAAGTCAAATCTTTTTCATAAAGAGTCGACTCTACCCTGAACCCATCAGCTCCCTAGCTCTCTAGAAATTGAGAGTTGAATTTTAACCTCATAGAGTCGATTCTATGAGGTCAAGAGTCGAATATAATATTGTAGAGTCGATTCTTAACTGTATTGTACAGTTTCAAAATTGAAAAGATTATCGACTTAAATGTCCATTAATATCTTCATTTGACGCACTATTAATTATATTTATTAACTTTATAATTTCACATTAATGTCCATTAATATCACATAATTGCAAGTGGGTACCCATTCTATATGGGCCGATTGCAATCTTTTTTCACTCTTCCTTAACTGCAGCAAATAACTGCTCCTTTTCCTCCATTATTTCAGGAACTGTTCTCCTCCATTATCTCCCTCTTCTTCATTACTCCAACAACCATTTCCCCCTTTCTTTTTTCTTTTTTTTTTCGTTTTTGGTTTCTACTTCCCCTTTTCATCTTTTTGCTACTCTCCCCTCTCATAAATTTTGTTTGGGTTCATGGTCATGCACCCAAATCTGGGTTTGTGAACCCATTTTGAAATGGGTTCACAACCCCAGATTTGGGTTTGTGTTAATGAACCCATATCTGGGTTCATGAACTCTGATCTGGGTTTGTGTTAATGAATCCTAATTTGGGTTCATGAACCCAAATCTGAGTTTGTGTTCATGAAGCTTCCCTTCTCTTCTTCCTCAAATCAACCCCTTTCCTCCATCTTACATTTTGTTCTTGAATGCTCAATGTGTTGCTAGGAATATGTGAATTGTAGTAGTTTTAGTTTTGCAGTTGTGTTATTTAGAATTTGAAATGAAAAAGAAAGAGAAAATTGAGTTGGAAATATGGATTTGTGGGAAGTTAGATCTAGCTTTGAATAATCCATATATTAGGACTTGAACTCTTTTAATGTGAAATGGATCGAGTAAGAAAAATTTGTTTCATTTTATGTTTGGATGCTGAGAAAATTGTTGTGTTTGGCTATTTAGAAATTTTGTTAAGCAAATTTGGGTTGATTTAATTGCATGAGTATTTTGATTGATTAAATTTATATAATACTAAAGTAATTATAAATAATTAAAATTGAATTGAAATTAATGGTAAGTTAATTGATTTGATTTTTAATTTAATTTATATGTAAAATTATTTTAAACGTATTATAGTAAATGGATAATTAAAGATATCATGTTTTATTTGATAATATTTTTTTGTCAAAATTATAATTATGTGATTAATTTGATTGGGATATTCTTAATTATTAATGTTATTTTTATTTAAATTGATTATTATATCATTTAATTTATTTAGAAAGAAAAGTGTAGAATTTTTGAAAAAAAAAATACAATGTAATGATATAAAAGATAATTATATTAAAAGGATTTAGCATTCACTATTTAAGGTGTTATAATAATTTTACCTTAATTATATATCATCAATTATATTTGAAAAATTATAATCTAAAATATTTTAAATTGTCTAATCTTATCAAATTAATAATCTAACTACCATTTAACTATAAATTTATATATTAATGATAACTTATTTTAACACACATATTTTACTTTTACATTACAATGTATATTATTTTAATCATTGTATTTTTAACTGTTGATATGATTTTACCCAACTACATGCAAGAATCCGAATCTTAGATTTTGGATAGTATAACACTTCACTGTCACGTCCATCCAACTACCACTTCCATCTTTGAATAAGATTTAACTTTCAACAACATAATGCTGAAAGCCTTATTCTTTTACCAACACATCCTATGTCGGTGAGGCAAGTTTTTAGCAACATGATGATGCTGCATCACGATCTCTTCTTTTCTGGCCTTGCCCTTGGCCACGGATAGAGACAGCCAAGGTATGAGTCGTGGCTTTCTTTTCCATTGACTTCATCACGGTTTTCCCACCAGAGATGGCCTTAATGGAAATAGCTGTTCTCCTAGCAACATAGAGTAGTCTTGCAAACTGATTGATCTCGATGTTCTCAAGAACAGCGTGATATTCTAGAAACATATTATTGATGCAAATCTCCACCAAGAAGGACTCAACATGGCCACTGCAACATTCAAGTGCCAAATCTTTGAACCTTTTCACATAGGCCATTAGATCCTCACTGGTGCATTGGCGGGTGTTATGGAGATCCAGGGCAGTGATGCGCTCTTCGCTCTGGAAATATTTTTGGAAAATTTGCTCCACCATCTCATCTCAAGAGCGGATCGAACCAGGAAGCAAAGTGGTGTACCATGTGTAGTCTTTATTTGAGAGAGATTTTGAGAACTCGCATAAACAAAAATCTCTATCTCTAACATAAGCTCCCATGGCATCAAGAAACTTGCTAACGTGCTCCATAGCACTGCCCTTCCTCCCATGATATTGTGGGAATGTAGGACTCTCATACTTCTTTGGGTACGGCTTAGACAGAATTTCTTTTAGATATGGTGGGTCACGAACAAACTAGAAAGGAGTTGTTCCATGTCTGGAGAGCTCCTTATCTAAAAGAGTAGTAAGATTTGCCATAGTGATGAAACCTTGGGCAGGATCGATTGCATTGGGCGGGGCTCTATCAATGTTGACGACTATAGCCACCAGCAGTGTCGAGTTATCTGGCCATGTAGCAAAACCTCCATTTCCATCGGTAGCTCCACTATGAACTTCCTGCAGCTGAAGCATCCCAGTCATATTGATTGGCTGAACGAAATCTTGCAAAACATGTTGCGTCTGAATATTGGTGAAAAGCTGAGTAGTCCTTTGTTGGTC